TTAGATTTTTTTGCACCCTCAGATTCCAGATTTTCAAATAGTTGTATCTCAGCCAAATATTGTCCTATCCTAACAAACCATACATCAATGGAGAGCTCATTTATTCAGCTTTGAGTATGGTTTATAAATCTCAATTTCGAAAAATTGACCCTTATGACTGGTTTTGTGGTCCAGGGTCACATATGTGTGCACTGTACACACAGAACACACTGAATGGGGTTGTTATTCACGTTGTCTTGTGCTTGAATGCGTTAAAATCGCTTTAATGTTCATATTGGCAAAGTGTATTTGTCCATTAAAAGTGCAAGAAGACGTGAAATCTGAGCACAGTTTGAGACATTATTGAGACGTGAGATTACAGAGATCTTTTTTCAGGAGGAACATCTGAGACTTAAGCAAAAGTTGAATCTCATTGCAGACAGTTGAGATATTGAGGAGATCTCGTTTGTGAAATCTCTCTTTCCTATGGGAACACAAGCTGTCTGAATACGTGCATGTGAACTTCACACACCCGAGTGTTGTTCACAATGGCCACTCCTTATGTAAGCACACCTGTCTGTCGCTCTATCGCATGATTGATGAATTCATTTATGGTGGAAGATCCAGTTTCCTCCCAAACAGCCTGCAGCATCTCCTGAATATAACAGCAGGGTGGATGTTGTTCGACGGCTTTATCAGCAGGTGTTGTAGAGTTTCTGCCATTCAGACAACACTCTGTGAACAGTAAATGCACTTGCATCTCCAAATGATTTTATGATACAAAATTATTGTATTATGTTATGTGTTAAAGACAAGACAAAATGTGATCTGTTAACATATGTGACCCTGGACCACGAAATCAGTCATAAGGGTCAATTTTTCGAAATTGAGATGTATACATCATCAAAATCATCTTTAAAATTGTCCAAATTAAGTTCTTAGCAATGCATATTACTAATCGAAAATTAAGTTTTGATATATTTACGGTAGGAAATTTACAATATCTTCATGGAACATGATCTTTTCTTAATATCCTAATGATTTTTAGAATAAAAGAAAAATCTAAAATTTTTACCCATACAATGTATTTTTGGCTATTGCTACAAATATACCCCAGCGACTTAAGACTTAAGGTTTTGTGCTCCAGGGTCACATATCTGTGTATATACAGCCTGTTAAACCTGCCGCTGTCATCAGTAATAATCAAATAGCAATAATGCTCAGAAAAAAGAAAATCCACGAATGCCCTTGGGGGAAAAAAATGATGTGCTTTATTCATATGAGTGTAGGCCTACTCTGTTGAATTAATCTGCTGTTATAGTTTAACTGGTGAAGTTAGGCTACATTATATATTATATACATTATATATTTCGTAGTAATATATTATTTGTTCGTCATTTGTGCTGATTAAATATTTAGTGAAATACTAGAGAATACTTTAATAATTCTGGATTAGATAGAACTGGTGGAAAACAACTTTAAATATGATCGCAGTGCAATTATGTGAGGAAAGAGGAGAGATGAGTAAACTTTTTTTTTTTTATGAATGTATAGATTGAATTTATACTCAAATTTATACTTGAACTTTTCGTTCATTGCTTGTAATGTTTTTTTGTTCCCCTTTATTACCTTATATTTGCTTATATGTTTTGAAGCTATATTTAGTTAATAATAGTTTTTATTTTTAATAATTTAATACAAATACGTTTATATAATTTTATAATTTAATAAAAATGTATATAATTGCTATATTTAACAGTCAAATATAGCAATTATTTCATATATGATGCAATATAGTATTATTGTATTGCATATATAATGTATTAATAAGATTAAGAAGAATTTGGCACAGAACCACATTTTCTTCATTGGAAACATGGAGAACAGGGTCAGATTGAGCATCGGCATCCTGTCGGGGTTTCCTCGACCTCCCGCCTCCGATTGAAACTACATGTGTTTGGGAGGATGCTGAAAACATAATGAAAGAGGTTTGGTTGGCTACAGTTTTTTTTAGAAGACTAAAAAAGATGAACGTTTGGAATGCCTCCAGTATTTACTAGACAGTTATTTGTAATCTGTATTCTAAACCCGGTGAACTCTTTAACCAGTGGCAGCTTTCCAAACCCAACATGCCTTCAGCCCACTTAAACAGATGAGTTAGTTATGTGCAGGACCCTCCAGCCAAATAACATATTTGGGTCATCTGTTCCACTGCCCCACTTTTAGTCCCCCTGCAAGGCCCCTTCCTCTTTCAGCCTTTCTATTTCCTTCATCTGGAGTTGCACAGGCTGAAGGCATGGAGACTGTTGTGTGTTTTGAAGGCAGGGTGAAGGTCTGGGTCAGCTAGTTCACTAATGACAAAAACAACCCTCAGACGGGATGGGGCTCAAAGAGAAAACATGGGTTGTAAACTGCACTACATGCTGCTACTATTGACCCGTTCAACATCATTTAAAGGTTATTGTGGGAAACTGGAGCAAAATGTTACTTAATAAAGCAGTCTGGTTTCGTAAGTAAAGATTTAATTAATTTTCTCCAGAGGGGCTTTGATTTTTAACAATAACAGATAAATCTTCAAAGACAGACTTGTTGTGAGCTCTGAGGTTGTTAATCAATTGTATGCTTTTGTTGAACCCATCTGTTCACATTGTCAACTTAATTTTTTAAAGAATCGTGTTTAATAGCAGAATTCATGGTGAAAACTACATTACCCATGATGCTGTAGAGAAAATTCCACCAATCAGAGTCGCAGCGAGCACTTGCGCCAAAATATATATTTAGCTCTGCCCATTCTCATGAAGCTCCACCCACTCCCGTGAAGCGCCGCAAATGACGTAATCGAGTCACGTAAATGCTCTCAAAATACTTGCATATTTGTGTATATATATGCGTATTTTGCATTGAACTTAAAATACATTGTTTTTATAGACATAACCAACAACTTTAAATTAATATTTTTATATTTCTTCATCGTTTTAATTCGATTAATGTCATTTAAATGCTTCATGGGATTGTAGTTCTTTCCCTCACTAAAGCCATTAAGAACACAGTCTTGTACTTTTGTCTTATTGTCCGATTTACTTTTTTTTTTGCTTCAAATCAAAGTTTGTAATGTGATTCTCATCTTAGCTGGTTGGCTTGGTTCGTGGTTTATAATGCTTTAACAAAGACTTTTTAAAAATTCCTATGGCAAAAATGCTTCCAGAACCACTGCTGCTGAAAAAGTGGGTGGGCACTAATGCAATCTATAACTGGATATTAAAAGCCAACGGTATGAAGGAGAAGAAGAAAAAAGATGGCATGAAGGCGGGATGATTGTCCACAGGTGTGCCTCTGTTGTCATTCATGCCCCGGATTAGATTTCACACAGGTTTTATTTGGGAAACCTCAGCTGTTGATGTCAGCCTCGGGCCTTAAGCACCAAAGACAAAGAATATAACTCCAGAGTCCTTTCAGAAAGATGGACGTTATATAATCTCATTCAAAGAACTTTTCAAACTCTAAGGGACTGGCCAGGAAATATGTAATCTGTATTCTGTTTTTGTGTTGCTGGTTTGTCTTTTTGAAGGACTGAAACACTTTTCTGAGGTTCGGCTTGAAAAGAGTTTTGTATTTACTTGAGACTGTTGTAAACACGATTCTTTTAGAGAGGAAGTAGGCCTATTTTTATCCTCTTTCCCATAGACAATTGACTCGTATAGATTATATGAATGAGTGACCAATTAAATTACATGGAAAAGGAATGTTTTGCTGCTCTCCCACCAGTGGGGCTGCAGAAAGTTTGAGACGTGAACGGCCTTAGAGGAGTTCATGTTTTTTCCTTTCCTTTGACCTCAGCGTGTCTGAGTCCATGGGAACTGTAAATAAAATATGTGCATAAAATGCTCGTCGATCTGCCCTTTGGGCCGGTGTTAAACATGCGTGCCGACCCTGAAAAAAAAACTATAGAATTTGCACTTATCTGAAGCAGAATGCCTTGACATCTGTTGGCATGAGTGCTTGTTTGTAAAACCCTTGGTTCTGCCTTGTTTTATTTTGCAAAAGTCTCTTTACAGTTTATGTGAAACTCTCGAGTGTGCCTCATACTTTGTGAAGTTGCAGATGTGACCTAGTTCTGCCACAGGAATCATTACACGTCTTGTTTTATTTTCTAGAGAAAACAAAGCAAATTCCAGTCATCTTTTCTGCAGGAAAACTGCCTTTATCTGTCACTGCTGGACTTGAGTTTTGTATATCGTGCATGAAGATGAAGGTCCCTGTGTGTGTTTGCAAAGCTGCTGATGCAATTGAGTGCACAAGTTTACATTCCTCTTGCGGTATCTGCAAGATGTCTAACGTTTAAAAAATAATGCATTTTGTTTTTTTTAAATTTAGTATTGGCTTGATGAAGCTGTTTTCATAACAGATATATTCCACAAAGCAAAAGAACAACTGAATGAACATAAATGATCCTGTCTTGAGTTGTGAAGCTGCCACTGTTCTTTAGAAAAAGCACATTTTGAGATGTTCACAATTGAGGGACACACACACACAAACTATGATAGATGCAAACATTTATTGATAAGAATATCCTAGGAACCAAGGGGGAGAACACCTTTGTAAACAGGAAGAAAAATGTAAATTGTTATTATTTTGTCTTGTGGTAAATATAATCTTTATCTCATATATTTGTGTTTTTGAACACACATCTTTCCAAAGCTAACCTAATTTGTTTACGAAAAACTTAATCTTTTATGAAAACACCTGTCAGATTGTAGCTGACATCACCAGATCAAATATGCAAAGTCAGTGTTGTCTGCTCGTGTCCCAGTTTTCTAGAATTGAGTAAATGCTATGACTTAAGCCACAATTTATGTCTCAAATTTTCAGGCTGATAATCATAGCTATGTATAGCTATCAGCTTACTGATTTTTTTTTGTTTCTTCATAGAGACATGTCATGTGTAAACCTCACTGTGACACTAGCAGTCCTCTGTACGGACTTCAGGCCAAACTAATCACCTTTTGTCTCTGTCCTTGTAGGATTCCGTAAGATCAGCCTAGATGACCTACGGAAGGCCTACATTGTTAAAGATGTGCAGCAGTACATCCTCCACCGCCTAGACCAGGAGGAAGCCCTGCGACAACACCTTACCAAGGAGACAGCAGAGATGCTGAACCAGCTTCACATCAAGAGCAGCGGCTGCTTCCTGTACCTTGAGCGTGTTCTTGATGGAGTGGTTGAGAACTTCATCATGCTGCGGGAAATCCGAGACATCCCAGGAACACTGAATGGACTCTACCTTTGGCTCTGCCAGAGACTGTTTGTCAGAAAGCAGTTCGCCAAAGTCCAGCCCATCCTTAATGTGATTCTGGCTGCCTGCAGGCCGCTGACTGTCAGGGAGCTCTATCATGCAGTCTGGACTAAAAACATGACTTTGACGATGGAGGATTTTCAGAAGAAGATGGACATTCTCTCTAAGTTGCTTATTGATGGACTTGGCAGTACTAAGATCTTATTTCACTACAGCTTTGCTGAATGGCTCCTGGATGTTAAACACTGCACACAAAAATACCTTTGCAATGCAGCAGAAGGACATAGAATGATGGCCATGAGTTACACGTGCAGCGCAAAGCAGCTTAAGCCTCTGGAGGTGCAGGAGTTTGCCTACCACCTGATCAACTCGAACCTGCAGATTGAGCCCTTTAATCTTGCCCTTTGGATGGTGTGGAATGGCACCCCTGCTAAAGACTCCCTGTCCACTTCAATCCCAAAAGAACAGGAGGTACTCCAACTACTGGTCAAAGCTGGGGCTCACGTCAGCAACGAAAATGACCACGCTTCATGCATTTTGCAACAGGCCTTGGAACGCGAGGACTCAATTCGAACTATACTAGATAACGGTGCTTCTGTTAATCAAACTGACTCCAACGGGAGAACTCTTTTAGCCAATGCTGCATACAGCGGGAATCTGGATGTCGTGAACCTTCTTATCTCCAGGAGAGCCAACATGGAGTTGGAGGACAGCCTTGGACAGACAGCACTTACTCTGGCAGCTAGACAGGGCCACACCAAGGTGGTCAACTGTCTCATCGGGTGTGACGCTAACATCAATCACACAGACCATGATGGCTGGACTGCCCTTAGGTCTGCAGCCTGGGGAGGTCACTCGGAAGTTGTGTCTGCACTCCTATATGCAGGTGCTAAAGTGGACTGTGCAGATGCTGACAGTAGGACTGCCCTGAGAGCTGCCGCTTGGGGAGGTCATGAAGATATCGTCCTCAACCTCCTTCAGCATGGAGCCGAAGTCAACAAGGCAGATAATGAAGGACGAACGGCGCTGATCGCTGCAGCGTACATGGGTCACAGAGAAATTGTAGAGCATCTGTTGGATCATGGGGCTGATGTCAACCATGAGGATGTGGATGGCAGGACGGCACTCTCCGTCGCTGCTCTTTGTGTGCCAGCCAGCAAAGGTCACGGTGCTGTTGTGAGCTTGCTGATTGACCGTGGAGCCGAGGTAGACCACTGCGACAAAGACTGCATGACCCCGCTTCTGGTGGCTGCCTACGAAGGCCATGTGGATGTGGTTGATCTGCTTCTAGAAGGAGGAGCAGATGTTGATCACACTGATAACAATGGAAGAACGCCTCTGCTTGCTGCAGCGTCTATGGGACACGCTTCAGTTGTCAACACTCTGCTTTTCTGGGGTGCAGGAGTGGACAGTATCGACAGTGAAGGCAGGACTGTGCTGAGCATTGCATCCGCACAGGGGAACGTGGAGGTTGTCCGAACTCTGCTGGACAGAGGACTAGATGAAAACCACAGAGATGACGCGGGCTGGACGCCATTGCACATGGCCACTTTTGAGGGACACAGACAAGTTTGTGATGCTCTCATTGAACAAGGTTCCCGCTGCACAGAGGTTGACAACGATGGACGTATCCCTTTGATTCTGTCTGCTCAAGAGGGTCATTATGACTGTGTGCACATCTTACTGGAGAACAAGTCGTGTATTGACCAGAGAGGGTACGATGGGAGAAATGCTCTCCGAGTTGCAGCGCTAGAGGGACATCGAGACATCGTGGAGTTGTTGCTGAGCCATGGGGCGGATATTGACTTCAAGGATGCAGACGGTCGCCCAACTCTTTACATCCTGGCACTTGAGAATCAGCTGGCCATGGCGGAGTACTTCCTCGAAAACGGAGCCAATGTTGAAGCCAGTGATTTGGAAGGAAGAACGGCCTTGCATGTGTCGTGTTGGCAAGGCCATGTAGAGATGGTCAGATTACTGATCAACTACCATGCGGATGTGAACTCATGTGATAACGAGAAACGATCCGCTCTCCAGTCAGCAGCTTGGCAGGGTCACATAAAGATTGTTCAAATCTTGATTGAAAATGGCACCGTTGTAGACCACACATGCAATCAAGGTGCTACAGCTCTGGGCATCGCCGCTCAAGAGGGGCACATTGATGTGGTTCAGACTCTTCTAGAGCATGGTGCAGATCCAAATCACGCTGATCAGTTTGGACGCACTGCCATGAGAGTGGCAGCCAAAGGTGGTCACACATCCATAATAAAACTCTTGGAAAAATATGGCGCCACAAGTCTCAGTGGCTGCAACCCGTCTCCCGTGCACACCATGGAGCAGCAAACGCCCGCTTCGCTTGCTGGGAAAGTACAGTCACTCACTATAAAGTCCAGCAGCTCTGGAAGCACAGGAGCTGGCGACGTGCATTCTGCAGGGCGAGGACAATCCAATGGACCTATTCATGCTTTCAGCTCACCATCTGAGTCTCCAGACTCAACCGTGGGCCGACAGAAGTCCTCCCTCTCTAATAACTCTCTCAAAAGTTCTAAGAACTCTTCACTGAGGACCACTTCATCCACTGCGACTGCCCAGACTGTCCCCATCGACAGTGTCCATGCCCTTTCTTTTATTGAACAGATCCAGCAGCATTCACTGCCTCGCAGTCGCAGTCGTCAATCAATCGTTTCTCCCTCCTCCACCACCAGGTCCATCGGCACTCAGCCTGGCTCTCCAACCAGCGAGTATGATTGGAGCCAGGTGAAGCCAGGCCTGAAGTCCACCAAAGTGTCCAAGAATGGCCAAAACTGCTCAAACAAAGGAACATCTGGTGAGAAGAAGAAAAGCAAGAGTGGCTCTTATTCACAGAGACAGGTTCTTGAGTACGAACTTACCCAATTTGATAAAAGGCTTGTGATCAATAAGCCGGTGTCCAACATTGCAGTTAAAGATCCTCAGTGTAAGATCATGGTGGGAAGATCCAGCGCTCTGGATTCTGTCCAATCGCAGGAGAAGTTTTACATTGAGCCCCAGAGCTGTGCAGAGAAGAAGAGGAACGGCATTATGACCAACCCCAACTACCACCTACAGGGAAACCAGGTTTTTCTTGGGAGAGTTTCAGTCCCCAGAACTGTTCCCAGCAGGGGCCACCAGGACCTTCTGGACAATTACCCAATAGGAGAGACTGAATTAAGCTTCAAACAAGCCCTACAGCTCCAAATTGAAGGATCAGACTCTGGGTTAAACTGCAAAAAAGAGACGCCATTATAACTGGTGAGTACATGACATTTAAAGACTATTGCACAGTAGTTCAAGTTGAGAGATTTTGTGGCTGAAAGCACATTTGTGACTTACATTCACAGTATTAGATTGTCATGTCGATTTACAGTGTATTATTACATAAAGCTGTAATTTTGTAGTGTTTATAGCGGTGAGTCGTTTATATAAATATATGTAGAGTATAAATCTTTTGCCTTTTAAAAATCCTTGTCAGTGGTTCTCAAACTATGGTACATGTACCACAAACTTCTAAATGCTACTGTTGTGGTATATGTTTGTTTTTTAGATGCTTTTCTACTGCAAAGTGCAGCGTGATTTATCTAAACAACAGGAATATTAGTTAAAATCTGGTCTTTGTTGTTAAATACGTTGGTTTTCAATGAAACTTGTCGACTAGGTGGTGCTTGGGCACCTTGATTCGGTCAAAGGTGGTACTTGGTCTGAAAAGTTTAAGAACCACTCATCTACGTGTTGTGAGAATGCCAATAACTTCTTAAATACTGACTCAAGAAGTTTTGATGCCATTTCAGATGTCTTAATCCTAATTCGTCATTCAGAAAGAGACTGTGCCAAAGTGAACGCTTTCATCCGCAAAATAACTGAAACCATTTTCCACACTTCTCTGTGGAACATCTCAAGAAGAAAGGAACGTGAGAGAACCGAAGAGGGATTATTGCCCAGTGGTGATGCAAATTAATACTTGTGCCTGTCGATGCTCCAGCCTTCTTGTGGTGACCATGATGCACACAGACGCTTTTAATTTAATGCATTAATATTTAATAGGCAGTGGATGCACTTTCTTCCTTTGTTTTGTTTTTTGAAAAAAAAAAACGAATTTAGTATTTAGGGGTTTTTTTGCCTTTTAATGCTTTGTTTGTTTGTTTGTTTATCAGAGTTTACTTTAAAAAAGAAATGTAAATTTTTCTGTTTGTTTTGTCTTGAACTGTATAAGTGCAACTGACAGCAATGTGCCGCTGGAGTACGTTGTTTCCTTTGACAGAGATCGCAAACTCTCCGTCGTATTCACATCTTTAAATCTCTTAAAGTCTCCATTAGTCCTTCGGTGCACTCATAAAATCACGAAAACAGTCTTAAAAAAGCCGCTTCCATGTGTGCTATATTTGCTAATATCATATATTTAATAGGCAGTGGATGCACTTTCTTCCTTTGTTTTCTTTTTTGAAAAAAAAAAACGAATTTAGTATTTAGGGTTTTTTTTTGCCTTTTAATGCTTTGTTTGTTTGTTTGTTTATCAGAGTTTACTTTAAAAAAGAAATGTAAATTTTTCTGTTTGTTTTGTCTTGAACTGTATAAGTGCAACTGACAGCAATGTGCCGCTGGAGTACGTTGTTTCCTTTGACAGAGATCGCAAACTCTCCGTCGTATTCACATCTTTAAATCTCTTAAAGTCTCCATTAGTCCTTCGGTGCACTCATAAAATCACGAAAACAGTCTTAAAAAAGCCGCTTCCATGTGTGCTATATTTGCTAATATCATGGTGCTATGTTTTGACGTTGCCTATTATAATTGTTTTTATTATAAATTTTGAATCACAAACGTCATTTTAACTCTATATTATGTTTGTAGCATTACTGATGCCCTTAAAGAAGAGTAACTCTGGCTTTACCATACTTCATTATTTAGTCCCTGTGGGACCTGTCTTTGTTTGTTTGTTTTCCTCTATTTACATTTGCATATTTAAACTACCAATGGTGTATCGTTAACTAGAGTTTGGTGCTAAATGCAGAGTTCTCAGCGATTGAAGAAAATGCAACAAGCCGCATCCTATGAGGGTAGAATGTGTGGCGGTGAGAAAGCGGCAGGCAACGTCAGGGAGTTCTGATGATAAGGTCAGCGAAAGGTCATTGTGCTTTTTACTCATGCCAAGCAGCAAACTGCAGTAATATTTGGATTTCAGGACAGGGTTTGAAATGTATACTCCTCAAGCCAAAGTTAAAACACAAAAAAGCCCACGGTCTTGTGAAGCCGGATCTCATGTCTCCGAGCCGTGGCTCTCTGTGGGGAAGGGAGAACGGGGCGGGTGTGGAGTGGATTTCAGACATCTGTTTGCTATGAGAGGAGACGCTCAGTTAAGGCCTTATTGGGTGTAACTGCATCAGAAAGCTTGTCCTCTGAAGAATTACAGAAAGGCACTTTATGAAGCCTTGGACAAGGACAGACAGAGAATGAGTCTTTTAAGATGAAGATGAACCCTGGACAGTATTCAGAAATCTCAAGCCATCTGTTTTACTGAGTTATTATTGTTTTTTTTCTCCTTTGTTCAACTGTTTTGGTTCTGAGCCTGGAGTTAATTTCAAGAGAAGTTTGATTGTAAATAGCTGACCGTGTACATGGAAAACTTTCACATTTTGAAATTCAGTTTCCTGTATTATATTGAGCTGAATTTTCTGACATGTTAAAGTGCTTAATAAACATATCTGCTTTTCTGCCAAAGCAATTCATTAAGTATTTCTTCATCATTTGCTCTGTCGATCATTACTCTTGCTGATTTGACAAAACAAAACCCACAAATTTACATTGAAGGAGGGACTTGAGCAGCATAGAAACGCCCTGTGACAGAGTTTTGAGCGGGTAAGCGTCATGCATGTTGTCTTTACAAATATCAAATCTACTTTAGATTAAGGCAAGATGCTACAGGCAAAACCATTGTTTTCTCATCCACTCATCAAATTTGAGTTTTTAGGCTATTTTGCTTCTATAACATCTGTTGTTTCAGACTAGTGAAAAGAAAACATCCAAAAAACTCCTAAGTGTTTATTTTATTTCACTTAATATATTTGCGTCTGTAGAATTCAAAAGTTTGTTTCTCCACTTCAGCAGCACTTACACACACCAAAACTTTGTTTTATTCCTCTCTATATTCTGAAGGTTTTTACTGAGGGGTTTGTTCATATATATAAATCACACTGATTTATACAAGTTTATTTGTGAAAACATGGTAAAAATCCCTATTTTTAAAGGTTGTGCATTTGTTTCTCCACTTCAGCAGCACTTACATAGACCAAAACTTAGAGTTTTATTCCTATCCATATTCTGAAGGTTTTTATAGAAGGGTTTTTTCATATATATAAATCACACTGATTTATACAACATTTTACTCCTAAAAACATGGTAAAAATGTATTTGTTTTCTGCCTGTTGACAGTATTTTCGGATGTATGGAGAAATCCAGAATCCCCTCTGGAAAAACCTTTAGCAAGAATTTTGAACCTGGCTTTATACAATGATCAGATGTATGGTCAGGAAATGTATGCAAATTAGTGCCGATTTAATGCATTATTTGCATATTTAAACATAACATTTCAGAAAATTTGTCATGCAAAATAATTGCACTGTCATTAATCAATTGGGGAAAGTATGGTGCTGTATAGTAGCTAATTAATTTTTTTCCTTATTCACCTATAGTGTCTTGCCTTAAAATCTTTTCCAAGTTTGATATCTCTCACTGTAAGTTGGTTAGTGTTTGGATATGGGTGCAGTGTCCCGATTCAACACAAAGCCTGTAGACACCATGACAAAAATGCTTTGTGTTGATGTTTTTACCCCATATCTCAAGACTAGATCTCTCACGGAAAGGAGACAGCTTTCACACATGAAATACCTTGTGTTTTCAGAGTTCGGATGATAAGAAATGCTGATTCTGCATCCAGTTCTTCATGCCTCTAGGTAAAGTGTGACAATTACATATGCATCCAAACAACAACACTGATTTTTCCAGTGAACACTGACCTTCACTGGAAATATGTATCCGAAGATTTGTACATATTATGGATTTTTTCTTTTTTTGAAACACAAACAAAATATTACATAATGTCTAAGCTATTCGTTCATGCATTGAAAAAGAACGGGACTGTTGCTTTCTAAAAAAGCACTTTGCTTTAAATAGCTTTGTGTAGGCAGTATATGTCTCAAATCTCATTCGCTCTTGCGTTCAGGTCAGGCAAAACCAGGCCAGGTTTGACATCACGAAAGAATCAGTGATGTTTGACAGTCGAGGGCAAACCTGCTGAGACACGTCTCGTATTGAACCTGCATCATGGAGTTAGATTTTCAATAAATAACTTTCTTTTTATCTTTCCGACACAAAGCTGTCGTATGATTTCATAAGACTTGGAATAAAGCACATGACTCATGCTAAGTACTTGTATGGTGCTTTTTCCAAACTATTGGCGGTTTGGAAAGTTGGGACAATATTTGGACAAGTTTTGAACAAATACTTGAGTATCTAAGTAAGGTCAAGAAACGTGTTTAGTAGGCTATATTATATATATGTGACCCTGGAACACAAAACCAGTCATAAGGGTCAATTTTTCGAGACTCATTCTACTAAAAAAATATTTGTTCGAGCTACTTTTTTACATTTGTTAAAGGGTTTTGAGCCAAAATATGATCATTCTGTCATCATTCCAAACCTGTATGATATTTTGAAGAACAGTTGAGATCCAAACAATATTGGACCCCATTGACTTTCATTAAATGGTCATTTCTCAAAATATGTTGTTTAGTAAATGATGACAGAATTTGGACTGTCTCTTTAAGGGTGTTGTCGAAGCCCTTAGAAAGCATAAAGCTCTTGAGAACTCTTAAGAATCTGACTGAAGTGAAACTGAATGAGCAGCAGCAGACGCTGGTATTACTCCAGTTTTCCTCAGTCTTTCCATCGTTTGTCCTGCGGTGAGCGCCGTAATTACACAGCTGCACGTGGCAGCCGTGGGTTGAGGGGCTGCAGTGCAAACCTCAAACTTTTAACAGAGTCATGTCGAAATGTTTCCCGTTACGCTGACCCGACAGATTTATAGGCTACGTGACGCTGAGCCACGTAACAAACCGCAGCGACGCACTGCGGAAACCTCTCGTCCTGCGTCCATTCAGATTTAATGATGTGCAGGATTTTTCAATCACTGTTGTCTGTCTGGGTTGTTATCTTTAACTAAAACTATAAAAAAATAGTTTTGTTAATTGAAATAAAAGAAAATATAAATATTATGTGGAAAAAATTTAACCATACAATTTGATACTTGAAATAAAATATAGAAAAAAGTAAACTTATTTTATTTATTTTATTATTGTTATAGTTATATTTATATTTTTTATATTTATTTTATTTTTATACATTTTTTTAATTCACATTTAGTTTAACTTAAAATAACTAAAACTGAAATAAACATGTATAAAAACTAGACAGTTAAAAAAAATAAAACTAATAGAAATTGTAAAAACGCATAACAAAATTACCAAAACTTTAACTAAAATTTAAATGAAGATAAATTTCAAAATATTAATAAAAACTATAATAGTATCTCAATGATACTAAAATATCGCTGTAACTGAAATAAGTTCAAGTTGAAGCACTAAAATTACTAATAGGAAATAAAAACTAAAATTTAACTAAAAATGTAATTAACTGATTATACAAAATATTAAAAATATTGAATAACTATAATAGTATATAAATGATTCTAAAATAAGAATTGGAGGCTGATACATTTCCATCTTTCCCACAATATAATGTGATGTTTTGACACCTCGTTTCACTCGAAACATGATTTCATTAAATGAATATACATTTATTTCACTTTTGTTTTCCTAATACAGCCATAGAATTAAAAATCATTGACAAAAATATCTCTATTAGTGCATCTGAAAAGCTCTTGTCTTCATGGACAGATGGAGAGAAACAAATTCAGTAATCAGTAAAGCTGTCAGCAGTAACGGTCAGATACTCTGGGAATCTCTGTATCTCAACAGCTGTGTGTGTGTGTGTGTGTGTGTGTGTGTGTGTGTGTACAGAGTTGAGCTGAGGACACGTCTCTACTGTCGACGAATTATAGTCTCATGCAGCAGAACTTACAGTTACTGGAACTTCCTGTAGTCACACACACACACACACACACACACAGTCTGTTAGAAAGCCTGAGACAAAGGTGGGTGTGTTTAAGTTTCCTGATGCTTTTAAGCATCTCTTGACTGTGCTGCTGAGTGAGGAGGGACGACTGTTAGTGTGCGTGTGTGTGTGTGTGTGTGTGTGAGAGAGAGAGAGAGAGAGAGAGTGTGAGTGTGTGTGTGTGTGTGTGTGTGTGTGTATTTCTGTGTGTGTGTGTGTGTGTGTGATCAGGCTGCAGGGCATTATGGGAGGGGAAACAGACAGGTGTTAAAACTGATCACAATCATATCAGTGTTACTGTTCCGGCCCGCTGCAGAATAACGAGCAGACTGATAATGTCCTGCTCTCTGTGTGTTTGTGAAATGAAACATGTTCTCTCTCATCTTTAACGTCTCTTTGTTTTCTCTCAGATCGCGGTGTTTTGTCACGCTGAGCTCATTGTTTCTAAACCAACACGACGCTGACGTCTGCTGTAAAATCACGTTTCCATGAGCTCCTCCATCATTGTGAAAAATAAAGACTCAGGTTTGACTTTACCACATTTATTTTTCTGCTATTCAAGAATAATAATATATATCCTTTTTCCTCCTCATTACCTCACAGATAAATTATTTATTTAGTTTAATTTTCTTTTCTTTTATTATTTTCTTACACCTTTAAATAGGCTCACAAAAATCTAACACTTTTGTTTTTAAGTCTAAAGGATGAAATAGAATGTTGAATTCAAAAAGAAAAGTTGGAAGACAAATAAGATTTTTTGTTTGTGAATGAAAAGTTTCGCATATAAAGTTGTTGACATATTCAAGAGATGGTCAAGGCTTCTCATAATAAAAAACTATATCTTAGATAACAAAGGAGTGGTTAATTTCAACTTTAATAAAATAATATTGGTAACCAAACAGTTGCTGGTAGCCATTGACTTACATAGTATTTTTTCTTACTTTGGACATCAGTGGCTACCAGCAACTGTTCAGTGACCAACACTCTTCAAGATATCTTGTGTTCAACAGAAGGAAGAATCTCGTACAGGTTTGGAACAACACGAGAGAGTAGATGATGACCAAACTGTTCAGTTTTGGGTGAACTGTCCCTTTAATAAACGTTACTGATGTGTAAATGTGGATGAATCTGTGTAAAAACTCGGATATGTAAAGTGTGTGTTTCAGCGTAATTACATTCTGATCAAAGATTCTGAAGACAAACATCATCACTGATAAGAGTGAATGAATGAAAGTACATGAGTTGGGTTTGATTGCTCGTTGGCCTGTGATGTGATTCTCTTCACCTCAGCCCGTCTGCACTCGCCCGAACACAAACACACTCAGAGACGCTTATCATGAGAGGAAGATCATAAAAGAGCGTCTGAAGTCACAGAAGAGGCGTGATTATACGTGCACTCCTTCATGAAAGCAGAGGAAAGATGGATGGATGGATGGATGGATGGATGCTCTCTCTTCTCATTTATAATCGTACTTTCATCTGATGGACAAAGAGATTGCTATAGACGAAGTCTGTGTGTGTGTGTGTAACAAGTTGCAGAATTTCATCATATAAATATCAGCATCTGCAACAAATTCATATTTTCGCTGAGTTTGAGCTGTTTTTCCTTCATATTCTCACTCTATCAGACTACATGAGCCATAAACGCCTGATGGAGTCAATATGATACAAAACATAAAACACATATGGAAACTTTTTTTATTGACTTTTAATATTTTGTCTAAAGGTTCAATGCACTGTTCAATAAAAAAATATATTATTATATTATATTTATTATATTATATAGAAGGTTTTTTAAAAATATGATCTGTCAGAGCAGATATTGTGTTTTAATTAAATATTTTTTTCTATATTTTTTGTCACAGGTCAATCATTCACAATGATTCATCTTTTTCATACAAAAGCTGATTTAATTTTGTATTTTTTTTACATTATATAAGTAAAAATGATTGAAATGATTGTTCAGAACAAAATGTGAACACTCATCACTGCTCTCACCTACTGCTTATGCAACACATGACATTTAGAGATGACAACACGCACACACACACACGCGCACTCACACGCACACTCACACACACACACTCTCTCACACACTCACACGCACACACTCTCTCACTCACTCACTCACACTCACTCACACACACACACTCGTCACTGAAAACTAGTGACTAACCCCTGAGCCTCTGTGCGTCACTATCAGCCGCTCTGATGGGTTGTAAAATTTCCATCATGTCTATTTTTAGCCTTTTGACATTGGTTTTTATTTCTCACAGATATAATATGTGTGTAGATTTGTGTTTGGCATCTTGATGTAGATGGAGTCTGTTTTAACTGAGCTTACGAATTAGACCTGCAGTTTGTTTTTCAGACCCTTAACATGTTTAAGAACTGAAATCACTGACAGGTTTGAGTCTAAAGAAACAGGTACATTCTTAATCCTCAGAGTTTGAGAGCGTTACATCGGGATGCATTACTGGCAAGTGTTTTTCAGAGTTGCTGAGCTTCAGCTGGTCTTTCACACATCAATCACACGTTTGTGTCTCCGTTGTTCTTCCCATGTCTCTCTCAGGTACTTTTGCCAGCTTCTGGATGGTCTTGAATACTTGCACAGCCAGGGAATTGTACACAAAGATATTAAACCAGGGAATTTGCTGCTCACTACAGACGGGGCGCTGAAGATCTCTGACTTGGGTGTAGCGGAGGTGAGACGGCCGTCTGTGTTTAATCAGCACTCTGAGCTCATTTAAGTGATTAACCCCGTAAATCCTGATATGTGACCCTGGAGCACAAAAGCAGTGTTAAGTCGCTGGGGTATATTTGTAGCAATAGCCAACAATACATTGTATGGGTCAAAACACACACGGACACACACACACACACCCACACTCACACGCACACACACACACGCACTCACACTTGTGTGTTCGGCTCCGGTTCATTGATCAGGGATCAGGTCTGAGTCCTCTTCAGCTTGTCATGTCAGATTCCTGTCAGACGAGACCAGAAGAGCCGCTCTGACCGCCTGCTACAGAATGATGAAGATGCGGGAACAGACCCTCGTCTTCATCAGCAGAACATCACTAAAGTGTGTGTTTGACCATCAATAATCACAGATAATCAGAGCTATTAATCAGCTGGAGCAAAACCTGTTGATGGTCTTTTAAAGGTTATTCAGTATTATTTATTAAAATCTGTCAAAACTTATGTAATAAAATTCACCTAATATAGTCTATACAGAAATTTTGGAGCTGGATTTACTTTGTAGCTATTTTCACTTAGATTCTGCTTGCAGATTTTACAAACTGTTACAAAGAAACGGCAAGTAGCATTGAATTAAACACATTTTGAAATAAAAAGGCTTAATATATGCAAGCCTGTTTTCGCCACTGAATAAACAGTGACTTTTTATCATTCTGACTTTTTTTCTTGCAATTGCATGATATAAACTCATAATTGCAATTATTAATTCTTTTTTCAGAATTCACTTGCAAAGTCCAATTCTGGGGAAGAAAAGACTATTTTCTTATTGTGAGTTTATATCTCACAATTTTGACTATAACTTGCAATTTGTAAGTTTATGATGCAATTCTGAGAAAAAAGGTCAGAAATGTGAGATATAAAGTTTTAATTTTTATTCAGTGGCAGAAACAAGCTTCCATAGAAATAGTACTTGCCTGTAAAACATGCTCCAATAATCTTTTTTTTACAACTTTGTTGCTCGTTGCCGTTGTTAATTTAGCATTAATTATTAGTATTAATATTCTAGTATTTGATATGAATTTGCTTTTATTTCAGTTTTCATTTAAAGCTTAGTTTAAGTTATTTTGTTATGTGCTTCTGTCATTTATAATTGTTTATATTTCACTGTATTTTTTATTTCATTTTTAGTAATTTTGGTACTTAAACTTAGTTGCTAAAGCAAGGCTTCTAATTTTTGTTGAAGTTATTTAAGTTTTTCATCTGATAATTGTTACATTATTTCAGTTACTGAAAATGTTATAAATTTGATCTGGATTACACTTACAAGTCTATAATAGTTTATGTAAAATGTAACATTTAGTATTTACTCACCTTCATGTTCTGAGTCTTCTAAAATTAGATGTTTAGCGTTCATAAACATAGACTGGTTTTGTGAAATGATTCTACTGGTTTATAGAAAAGAATTATCTCAAAAGAGTGAATAATGACTGAAATTGTCAGAAATCTATCATATGACTTCAGAAGAGTTCATATATGATGTGTTTCACATTGTTTTGAAGCTGGAACGCTTCAGTCCTCATTCACCGTGAGCAGGACTTTTCCTCAAAATATATTTGTTGTTTTCCACAGCAGAACAAATATGGGTTTGGAACGACGTGAGGGTGAATAAACGATGACAGGACGATCATTCAGAGGCTGAACTTTCCTTTAAAGCAGCACTATGTAACTTTTGGCGGTCTAGCAGTTAATAAACAGAACTGCACACATCCCGCGGAAGAACATTCCAACCGGAGCTACTTCTCTAAGTTTATGTCTATGGCGATTCACGCAGTTATGTTATTGTTATTGTTTATTTATTTTTTTAGGGACAATGCATGTTAATGAACATTTGTAGTAATACAGAATGTAAACAAGCCGGATTATAGCAACACAGTCCCTAGGCAGGTACACACAAGGACACAGACTCAAATACAGCACATAAAAGACATTTTAAAATTTCTAAGTAAAATGTTTACACAACTGATTCGTCATAAGCCAGTTTTTGAAATGATCTTTAAAGGTATGATAAGTAGAACATTGTCTTATTGATAAGCTATTCCAATATTTACTCCCTATTACAGATAATACTTTCTGTCCAAAAGATGTTCGCCTATATGGCACCCCACAGTGCCCTCTAGTAATAGACCTCTGTCTAATAGGATCTGTCCTCGGTTTTATAAATTCAATTAACGGAGGGGGAGTAAGCCCATTCAAGACCTTATAAATAAAACATGCATATTTAAAAATTTTTTACATTTTCAAAACTCAATAGATTGTTTTTTTTTTAGAATATTACAGTAATGAAATGACAGGGTTTTTTTTATCTAACACTTTTATCGCCTTCTTATACAATGATTCTATTGTCTTTAGAGTTGTGCCACTTATAAATGACCAACTATTAAAACAATACTCAATATGAGAAAAAATCATTGAGTATAAATACAACCTAGCAGCACCGACTGTCAAAAATGGCCTAATATACTTAAAATTCTTTAAATTAAACTTTACAATATTACACAACTTTTTCAAATGACTTTTAAAAGTTAAAGCAGAATCCAAAGTCACCCCAAGGGATGTAAACTCTTTAACAATTTCAAGCTCCTCCCCTCTCAGAAATACCTTAGAATGTGTCATCCCTACTGGCTGTTTTGCAAACATCATACACACAGTTTTTTTTGTGTTCAATAATAAACCTGATTTGGTAAGCCATTCCTGAACATTGGTCATTGCAGAAGTCAAAGTAATCGAAGCTTTTTCAAACTTATTAGCATGGGTAAAAATTACTACATCATCTGCATACAAATGAACATTTACATCTTTACATACTCCAGGTAAATCATTAATATAAACTGAAAATAAAATTGGTCCCAAGATGGAGCCTTGTGGAACCCCCTTGGGGCAAGCAAGGTATCCGACTGTCAAAAATGGCCTAATATACTTAAAATTCTTTAAATTAAACTTTACAATATTACACAACTTTTTCACATGACTTTTAAAAGTTAAAGCAGAATCCAAAGTCACCCCAAGGGATGTAAACTCTTTAACAATTTCAAGCTCCTCCCCTCTCAGAAATACCTTAGAATGTGTCATCCCTACTGGCTGTTTTGCAAACATCATACACACAGTTTTTTTTGTGTTCAATAATAAACCTGATTTGGTAAGCCATTCCTGAACATTGGTCATTGCAGAAGTCAAAGTAATCGAAGCTTTTTCAAACTTATTAGCATGGTTAAAAATTACTACATCATCTGCATACAAATGAAAATTTACATCTTTACATACTCCAGGTAAATCATTAATATAAAGTGAAAATAAAATTGGTCCCAAGATGGAGCCTTGTGGAACCCCCTTGGTGCAAGCAAGGTCCTTGTGGAACCCCCTTGGGGCAAGCAAGGTATAAAGACTTTATACCATCATGTGTTCCTCCGCAGCGGTGACGACCCGACAAGGCTACAATAGTCCAAATATAAGTACTTATTATAAGTGTACCGTAGTGATTCGGAATAAGACAAAAACGCAGTTTGGAAGATGAATTCATGATGTACTCGCTCATTATATACATTTTGCAAATTTTGAACACAGAAAAAGTTACATAGTGCTGCTTTAACACGGTGATGAATCCCTGCGCAGGTTTATTGCGATGTTTGAGGTTCGTCTGCATCAATGAGGAACTTCAGCTGTTCTCCATCAGATGGATGTTCCTGATGTTTGTCGGCCCCCTGCGCAGTGGCCGAAAACTCTCGCCTCAAACCAGACTGAGAGGAAAGAAACCAGAAGCGTGAGCTGGATCAGATTTACAGAACCACATCAGGAACGTGAGGAACAGAAACCCACAGCATTATTTCAGTATCAGTTCTGTTTTCATTTTGATTTCAGTTAAAGTTTTAGTATTTTTGTTGTTTATTTTTGTCATTTTTATTAGCTTTTTAAAAAAGTCAATAATTTTTTTATTGTATTTTACTACATCAAGATAAACTAAATGAAAATGAGAAATGTTGCCTTGGCAAAGTTTTTTTAATGTATTTTTTTTCATTCAAATTTTTTATTACAATAATCTTTGTTTTATTTATAACTTAGAAAAATGATAGATAGATAGATAGATAGATAGATAGATACATACATACATACATGCTTTATTTGTCATTTCTGTTACATAGAAACGAAATTGTTTCACGCGTCCACAGCTTACAGTTCAGTGCCTTATAAAAACATAGATATTTCAGTAGAAATTATTTAAAAATACTAAAACATAAATATTCTAGTAAAATTATTTAAAGTACTCTAAATGTGTTAAAAATTAACCACAATAAAATCACAAGCTCTGATTTAGCAGCCTGATTGCTGTAGGCAGAAAGCTGTTTAACAGCCGAGTTGTTCTTGATCTTTTTCCTCACCGCATCAATGTAAACAATCCATAACATGGATGTGTGCAGTCCTTCAGGATGCCTCCAGCTCTCCGCACACAGCGCTCTGTGTAGAGTCCTGTAGCTGTGGCAGTGAGACACCAATTATTTTCTCCGCTGTTCTCACAGTCCGGCTGAGATTGTGTCTCTCCTCCGCTGTACAGCTGCCGAACCAGGACGAGATACAGCAGGTCAGCAGGCTCTCAACTGTCCCTCTGTAAGACAGGGTCATGGCTGCGATGGGAAGTTCCACCTTCTTCAGCCTGCGAAGGAAGGGAAGGCGTTGTTGGGCCTTCTTGATGACAGCTGAAGTGTTGTCTCTGGTAGCTTGTCTGTCAGATGGATCCCCAGAAACTTGCTGCTTTGAACCCTCTCCACCTCAGAGCTGTTTATGGTTAGAGGGAGATGGTGATGTTGGCCAGCCCTCCTGAAGTCTATGACCATCTCCTTTGTTTTGTTGGTATTGAGGGCCAAGTTGTGCGTTGTGCACCAGGCTGTGAGTTTCTCCACCTCTTTCCTGAATGCCGACTCATCATTATCGGTAATAAGGCCGACAGCAGAGGTGTCATCTGCGAACTTGATGAGATGGTTGCTGATAAAACTGGCAGTACAGTCATATGTCAGCAGCGTGAACAATAAAGCACTCAGAACACACAACTGACTCATTCATTTTAAGATTATTTTACATTTGAGTAATTTTATGTGGTTTTCATGAATTGTGTTATTTTTGAGAATTTTTACTTTGGCAAGTAGCTGAATTTATTTATTTCACTTAATTTTTATTTAATATTTTTTATGGTTTTAGTTATTGTTAACTATAATAAAACGGTGCCCTGTGATTATTGTTTTGTTTATATATATATATATATATATATATATGTATGTATATATACATACACACATTTGCATAAAGCATCCATATTTGTCCATGCCCATGTTGATTAGAGTATTAAAAACTTGAAAAGTATTACACATCAAACAGTTACACAGGCATACATAAGTAAGGAAAGACAGAAAAATGAAAAAGTTGCATTACAAAATTGGATCCAAATGAATAACAGCATAGAATACGGGTCTAAATGAACGCTGCATGCAGTGAAATGATCTGAGGGTCGTTCACTGTGTGAAATTCCTCCCCAGATGTTTGTTTGTGTGCGTGAATGCTGTTTTATCCATTAATGGAAGAATATCTCTGTGAAAATGAGTGTCTGTGTAGCACATGTTAGGGATGGAAGTAATTATTACTGTTTTCACTGAGTGCAGAAAAATGCATGTTTGATTTCAATTCATTTTTAATGTCACTGAATGTTGCACAAAATGGATTTGATCACTATGTTACTTAAACATATAAAATATAATAAATTTATATATATATATATAATTTATGGCAGTATATGTACACAGGATGAAACTAATTTTTTAAATGATGAAATCATCTTAAATGTCTTGTGTTTCTGTAGGTCAGCTGAAGGAAAATCTGATGATCTGAGATCAGCGTCCGGATTCAGTGAGTCATTCTGCCGACGGAATCCATGGAAATGAAGGAAAAGTTCAATGACAACAAAGAGGGAAAATCCAGCCGCACAAAAACATTACAACACTTCATACTGAATGACAGAGAGAGGAAACGTTTAGGGGTATTTGTGATTTTTTATATTTTTTTAACACGTTTGCATGTGAGAAGTGAGTGATTTGATGCTGGAGTTTCATCACATCACTATCAGCACTAGTACTAGTGATGACTAACTAACTTGGCAAAGACTGAGTAAAGTTCACTGATGCTGTAAAACGTGAAACTAGCTGTGTGTGTGTGTGAGTGTGAGTGTGTGTGTGTGTGTGTGTGTGTGTGTGTGTAAGTGTGAGTGTGTGTGTAGTTTCACTAGTGAACACTAGAGGCATCAGTGTCATTTGTTTAACTCTGCAGTAATGACTGCCATATGAGCCTGTTAAACTTTCCATCACACACAGACTCACACTCGGGTCGCTCCAGGAGAGAGAGCTCGACCCACATTCTGGTTCTGCTCTGAACATTTTAATAATAATTTTCTTTCTATGTACAACACAAATCTAAAACCCATAATACTCTCAAACACTCTCTCTCTCTCTCACACACACACACACACAGAGGTTTTTTTTTATGGTTTATGGGGACTCTCCATAGGCGTAATGGTTTTTATACTGTACAAACCGTATATTCTATTGCCCTACACCAACCCTACCCCTAAACCTACCCCTCACAGGAAACTTTCTGCATTTTTAGATTAAAAAAAAAACACACACACACACACACACACACACACACACACACACACACACACATCAGCTCACATCTGCATCCTGATGCACAGTCAGTCTGATGCATGCTCTGCTGTCTGTTTCTCATATTATTCTCTGATTCACAAGATGATGCAGATTTTCATCATACAGATGAGCAGCAACTCAGAGCTACATCAGCAATCATAATACAACATGTATGCAAATATCATCAAGGATAATGGATCATTTGATAATATAACAGAATATTATATCAGTGATCTGCAGCATTAACATGTTTAGGCCAAACACGTTCTTTTGTTTTAAAACGTTAAATCCTTGACATTCACTCTTTGCATACTAATGCATGTCATTAGCATATGCATGTATTTAAATCACACTCCATACATTAGTCACACACCAGCGTCTCTCTGATGGATAACGTGATTATGAAAGTTTCAATCAAACTTTGGTCAGGAAAACTGTGTGAAAACAGTCTCTATATTCATCATACGTGTCCTCTTAAGATGAAAACTACCGTATTGACCGAATATAAGACGATGATTTTTTCTTGGAAATACATCTGAAAAAACGCGGTCGTCTTATATTCAGGGTCTAGACTTTGACATGTCAATAATACACCCACAACAATAGGTGGCGCCAAATACGCATAAAACGAGTGTGCTATGAAATACGTAATGTAATGCGTGTTGTAAAGAAGAAAAGCTTACAGCTGCATGAGTCGTGACTGTCACGTTAGCCTGATGGGACCAAACTCTCTTTGTGATTTTAAAACGTAAGACAGTACCCAGATTTGAAGACTACAGTAAGATTTAACTTCTACTGTTAATAAGATGTTGGTAGGCTACTATTAGATGGATAGCCTAAATGTCCTAATTCAGATGGGCTACCTGTTTTTATTTTTTTTAATGGTATATCATAGTATTGGGGTCGTCTTATAATCAGGGTCGTCTTATATTCGGGCCAATATGGTATTACTATAGTTAAACTACGGTAACCACAAATTGACCATGGCTTTGCTACACTAACCATAGTTTAACCATGGTATTTGTAGTAAATATACAAAATACACACATGCACGCACGCACCCACACACACACACACACACACACACACATGGTTAGTACACTTTTACTATAGTAAAAGCATGATTAATTTTCTTAAAGGGTTTGTATTTGTGTATATTTTCTTTCTTTCTTTCTTTTTCCTTTGTTTTGTTTTTATACATGTACTGCCTTAATGGTTTGATGATTTGTACCGTTTAATAAAAAAATAAATCAGAAAAAAAGATTGGCGATTCGCGTTCGGTCCCGATCTGATTCAAATGATTCGCGATCCGATTGGAGCTCTTCGAAACAGTGAATCATTTTGCGACGCAATGGTTTAACTGATTCGGAGTTTCGAAAAGCTCAGTTTCTGCCATCACTGCGTGCTTTTTAAAATCATTACAAGCGATGTCGAAATACGAAAATGCATGGCTGTTTTGAACTTGTCTTTGCTAGTGAATCGCTTGAACTGAATGAAGTCACGAGTTTGAATCAATCGGAGCGGTTCAGCGTAAATGACTCACTCAATTGAATCGGTTCGTCTGTTTCTCTTTCCTCGTCTTCAGTCATGTTTACACGACAGAGTACGTTTACATGGACAACAATAATCCGATATTAACACGATTAAGACAATACTATGATTAAGAATCTACCTTGTAAACAGAGATTTTTGATTACCTTAATCCGGCTAAAGTCATACTCGAAGTAAACACAAATTGATTTAAAATCATATGACCCCTTTAAGACATGTGGAGTATTCTATTTTAATCGCATTATTAAAGTCTACACACCTTAATCACACTATTACCGTAGTGTAGGACTTTACACACATGGCAGTGGTCAACCGTTTGACGCAAACTAAAAGCAAGAAGGCACATTTTTATCCATCGTCGTCTGTTTTTACGTATAGCATGACATGTAATTAACTGCACTTGAAGCTTTCGTAAAATTAAAAATGAAACCCAAAACTGTATGGTACCGAAGACAAACTGTTGTTGCGTGAAATTCTGGAGGGAACGTCGGATGGCGTCGCATGGGAACGTAATGACGTGGGCCATTAATCAATCTATGTATAACATGTAAAACGGGAACATGAAAGGAATATTCAAAAAATGCAATTCATGTAAACACCTTAATCATAATATTGTCTTATTCAGAATAAGGTAAATAATTAGATTACTGATGTCCATGTAAACGCACTACTAACTGGCTTAGCTCGCTAGTTTTATGACATTAACTGAAATAAGCAAAAAAGTATGATATTTAAAATAAAATATCCATATTTCCATTCCAAAGATAAAATCCAACACTTAAATCTACGAACATAATCAGATGAGGTAACTGGTTTACTGCAAACTAGTGAAACACTGCATTAATGTGACGAGCTGCAGCTCAAAACACATGTTATATGATCGAGTTTGTAGCTTAATTCACTATATCTGAAATAGTTTGAGCTGCAGTTCAGTTGCTGACAGTTCAATAGAAATCAGCTGAAAGCATCCAGTCTCTCACACCATTGATGTGAATGTTCAGTTTATATATATTGTAATTAATATTTGAGAAATTATGTTGTATCTGATTGTATGAGTCTCTATAGAGTGATAGTCAATGTAAAAATGGCAAATGAGAGCAGCAGATGAACACAAGACAACAGAACATCATAAAGTTAAAGAGGATAAACTTTATCATTCAGCTGAACTGTGCTCGTGTGTTTGAAACACTTTGTTATTGCTAGGGACAATTTAGTAGTCTCTGGATAATAGGGAACATGTCATAGCATCTCTACTAAACCCTTGTTGATCGTACTTTAGGCGGGAACTGTCGAGTTCTTCCGGTTTTCCACAGTGAAGGTTTCTAGTGTAATTCAATGTGAAGATGATGAGAAATGTGAGATGTTTTGAGGTTTGGACAGCAGATGTTTGAGAACATTCCCTTTCCACATTGCTGGAGCCCTGATCATCCTGAAGATCATGAAGAAACATCAATGAAGCGTCTGAACGGACCATGACACACTGAACCAGGGTTGCAAGGTTTTCACAACAAAACCCGCCCAATCGCATTCCGAGGGGTAAAATACACATTTTTTGGCAGGGTTCCCCTGGTAAAATTCTCATTCCAGGGGCTAAATATCACATTATTAGGGTCACTTCAACCAACCGTGGACCTGGCAACACTTCACTGAACGCTAGACGATGATGTGAGGGAAAACACTGACACCTGCTGGACAAGCACACTACTGCCAACAGACACTGTTTTACCAGCATTTGCCTTTAAGACAGCTTCAAACCTTCTTAGAAAAGATTCATACAACTTCTGAATGGTTTCCAGTTGAATGTTGTCTATCAGAACGTCTGCCAGCGGTTCAGTTGTTTGTTGAGATATTGGAGGACAGAACTGGCTTCTCACTCTTCTCTCCAAAACTGATGATATTCCGCTCGTATATGCATTTTATAAATGAGACCGCAGAGGTGATCGATGATCAAAGTCCTGATGTTTAGGTGATGTGCTCACTCTCAGGACATCGAGGTTCTAGATGAGTTTGTTTCTTCATCAGATTTGGAGAAATGTAGCATTGCATCAGTGTCTCACTGCAAGTGAATGGGTGCCGTCAGAATGAGAGTCCAAACAGCTGATAAAAACATCACAATAATCCACAGCACTCCAGTCCATCAGTTAACATCTGGAGAAGACAAAAGCTGAAACAAATCCAGCATTAAGATGTATTTAACTAAAATGCGAGTCCATAATCCATAATAATGCTTCCTCCAGTGAAAAAGTGCATCTCCTGTTGTCTCTCACATCAAAATCCAGCCACATGTTTGTTTAGAGCTGTTTTGGCTTGTGCTTGATCAGTGCAGATTTCTCTCCTGATTCAGACCACTGGAGGAATTGAGTATATTCAGTTTAACATGTTGACCAATGCCCCTTTGTGATAAATCTTATCCTTAGATGAAGTTCTAACAGTGTCTGAAATTGTGCATACAGTTTGAGACACAAAAATCATAATGAATCACAATAAGACCAGTAGACCAGCTTAAATAGTGAATTAAGTGTCACTGCAGTTCTG